CCTTAACTGTTACAAGCTTTTGAGGATCGACGTTCTTGGCGCGCGTCTGGATGTAAAACCGGCGTCTACCCTCCGCGTCACATTACAAACGTATACACATAAAATGTGAAACAGCCGCGTCAGTCTACACTTCCAGACTGCGATAGAGACAAGCGTGGAAATGGACGCTTTCCGTCGCTGACGTCGCCGCGACGAAAACGACGACGGCGTCCGTTGCGCATGTGCTTCCTTCGACTAGTTTTCCGTTCACCAAATTTTTTGAAGGGCTAGGTCACAATTGTATCCAACACGAAAACAAGGTCTGATTGTGTTACATCGATATAAATTGCATATTTGTGTTACGAAACCCTGACAAAACAATCCTCAAGGAACTGCAATTTAACTAGGATAAATGATGGATATCCTTGTTTGTATTATCATATTTTATTGCATGAATGCTTAAATTCAAAACAAACCAAAATACTCAGTTAATGTCTAGGCCAAGAGACGGCAAACCTTTCTGATAGAGACCCAAATTGTTAAGGAAAACAGGATAATGAAAGTATCATCATCATGGTAATCGTAAGTCATTAATCCCAAAACTAATTGGACACACGCACCTTTCTTCTTTCAAAGCCGGAACTTCTCACATTCATAACTATTGCGAACAGTAATCTAATCTAGGGTTTAATCATGAAGACGTCCTATAATCATACTTCTCCTTTTCCTTATTGACATCCTCAACGCCTTCATCACTTGCTCCTTCCAATACTTCCTCATATCTAATCCTTTCTGTGTCCTATGTACACATCTTCTTCCACTGCTTCCCTTCCCTTGATAGTCATGGCAATCCATCAGCGGAACCACACTATAACTGTAATCGAAATCCACAAATTTCTGAACTGTTTTTCGTGGAACCCAAAGATCCAATTGATAATTGCATTTTCCATCAAATCCTTGAATTGTTATAACTGATAAATAATAATTCCAAAGTTTACAGTTACACATTTTTATTTGATAATTTAATAAGAAGAACCTAATATGTATTACTGTAGTCGATAATTCAATCTCAATGGATCAATACTCCACATTTTCTTTAATGATTGTTATGAAATGAGATATATTAACGAAAGAGATTCAAACACATCACAATCGAAATTATTTTTAAAATACAACTACTGTTGTTTTGAATGTATCTTAATATAGTTTAAATACGCCATTTTGGGCTTTTGTAAAAATATTTTTTCATGTAAAAATGAATCCTAAAAACTAAATGGGTCTTTTTTGAGACATTTTCTTTACAATTCTATTGATTTTCATAATAATTTATCAAATATTTAGTTTAATTGTCCATCTCTTTTTACCTTTTAAAATGACTTTCTTTATAATCAAATCACAATAAGAACAACAACAGGACTAAAAGCCTAACCCGGTGTTTATTACATCTACGTCTGTAATTTTATTAAGCTCTTATTCTATATTATCTTCCATTACTGTAATAAGTCATAACTTGCGAAGCCCTCGGTTAAATAGAACTCTAAAAATGTGAATAAAAGGAAAGCATCCTGCATCATGCGCCATAAAGAGATTGCGTTATTTTTGAAGACGAAAATGTTTTAGATGTAAGGCATGTAAAAGTCGCATAATACAACACTTGTTGAAATGTAACCTACATTTTTTACATTCTCTGTAAAGACAGATAAGAAAAAAAGGGTTTACAAAAGTTTGCGTTCGTTATTATTATAAGAATATCGTCAAAGGACAAGTTACAAACATTAACAAGAGATACCGGTGAAAATTACGTTTTAGCTCTCTAAGTCTTTTACATTAGCTTTAACACTTTTACCAATTTTAAAGAAAGTTTTAGAACTTTCAGCTTTAAGCTTTTTTTATTGTATAGTTTGGGGGACCAAAAACCCATGAGTGATCCATCAGCAACCTATGCACTCACTGCAAACAAGATGGTGCAACATGCTACACTATGGCAGAAACATTGCAATTATTGCAGATGAAATTTGCAGGACTACTATACTTACGATGGGAAGAAGTTAATTGGTAATCAAGATGATCTAACACCTCTCCTGTGGACTTTTTTTGGGGTATTTCTGAAAGGAAAAGTGTATGCAAATAATTTACAGACACTTACAGTGCTCAAAACGGAAATTTGACTGGCTATTGACGAAATTCACCCACAATTAAGTATCGATTATTAAAATCGTTATTAAAGAATTAGAATTCAAATAGCTTTTGAGTTACTTAATTTGCTTAATATGTCAAAATGTAAAACTGTAATGAACCAATTTCATTTCTGGATGTAATTTTCCTTTCGTGTACAAGAACTATAAACTGTTTTGGGGATGGAAACAACCCGCAGCCTTTATCCATTCGCTTTCCTAAATAGATTACCGCGCCGAGTAATTAACAGTGGAAAACGCTGAGCGGGAGTGCGCGAATTTTCTTAACCAGTTGCACAACCGAATCATTTCCCGCGTGGCTTGTACGGACGGCTACCGACGAGGCGACAGATGCAAATGTAATGCAATCGTCTAGAGCTAATCAGAATTTCTTTTTTTTCGTTTCCTTTTGGTCGTAGCAAGCATAGGTATGCAAACGAGTCGAACCGACCGCTAATTCTTCCTAATGGTTCACAGGAACAGATTTATCGTTCGTGAAGAGGTAGAATACAATCAGACGGATTTGAAAGATAAAAATCACTTGAAGCGAATAACCTACTACTATCTGTTACAAATATCATCATAATAAAGTCATCAGTCCTAAAACTGATTGGATATGCATCTCCACTCTTTCCTTTCCTGAGCTAATCTTCGCATTTCCTTAAAACTAGAACATCTTGCATCCTTAACTATTTGCGAACCTACCCCTACTCTTAACTCCTGTTTCTGTCTCTAATATGTCTATGACTAGTCCTTCATATCTAAGGTGTCCTACCAACCTATCTCGCCTATTTTTTATTGACTTTCATATAGTCCTCTGTTCTCCAATTCTTTCTAATACCTCTTCGTTTCTAATCTTCTCTATCCACGGTATCCTCATCATTCGCCTGTGACACCACATATCAAACGCTTCTAATCTTTTCTTTTCCGCCGTGCTCATCATCCATGTTTAGCACCCGTACAGCGCCGCACTCCAGGAATACTCCTTTAACCATCTTTTTCGAATTTCTAAATTATTCGTTCGCGAGCATAGAAGTGACTTCTTTTTATTGAAGGCGACTTATCAACCCTGCGCTATCCTCTCCTTTATATTGCTAATATTCCTTCCGTCCTGACTTATTTGACTTCCTAGATACCTAAAATCAGCCACTTCTTGTAATATTTCGTCTCCTATTTTTACTCTACATTTCGAATGCTTCTAGCCTTTTCTTTTCCGTCGCGCCCACCGTCCATGTTTCGCACCCGTACAGCGCCGCGCTCCAAACATACACCTTTATCATTCTCTTTCGAATTTCTAAATTAACCGTTTGCGAACATAGAGGTGACTNATCTGCAAATCTAAGCATACTAATCTAGGTCTAACTCTACTCCTCTTAACTCCTGTTTATGCCTCTAATATGTCTCTGATTAGTCCTTTATGCCTGGAGAAGGTGTTCTCCCAATCCTATCTAGCCTATTTCTTATTGACTTCTATAAAGTCCTCTGTTCTCCTATTCTTTCTAATACCTCTTAATTTTTAAGCTTCTCTTTCCACGGTATCCTCATCATTCGCCTGTAACTCTACATTTCAAATGCTTCTAGCCTTTTCTTTTCCGTCGCGCCCACCGTCCATGTTTCGCACCCGTACAGCGCCGCGCTCCAAACATACACCTTTAACATTCTCTTTCGAATTTCTAAATTAACCGTTTGCGAACATAGAGGTGACTTATTTTTATCGAAGGCGTAATTTGCGAAATAAATTATGCACAAAATTTGCTGCAGCCATATCGTTCAATTGTAACGTAAAGCCTATATACACTACCCGCAGATTGTTAATTACTATTAGCATCGTATGTATACCCTCTTGTTAGGGATGGAATTAATTGATATACTCGAACACGTCTATAATAATTAGCTACAAATATATACAATCAGTTTGCTAAACATAAAACAATACTGAAGCAATAATTAATCGTTTTCGGGACCTAAAAATATCTCGCGCCGATAAAAACGGGGTGGTATTTAAGAAAGAAAACGTATTATTAACATTTCAGAAACTTTAATGGCTTTATGAGCGCATTTTATACATAATTATTAAGTAGATGAGATACCCCCTTTACAATTTTACTTTTTATTGTAATTTGTTGTTAAATATATTGATACCGTTACTTACGTTTACAGTGAGCTATAAAAATGGTCTATGCAAAGCTTAATGTATCAGTAACTCTAACATCTTTTTCTTATTATTTTCTTTATTGATGCATTTACAATATTTTCTCATCGTTCATGTCATTACCCAAACCTTGAACTTGATTCCGCATAATAATACGGCCCATGATGATACTCCTGTTTATGGATACAGCAATCACAATAAAACTGCGTTTTTTTATTGAATAAAAAACGTTGAACTCCACTTAAGTAGGTGTAATAGGAGATAGCCCAATTGCAATTTGATTTTTAATTGCTGTTATCATTTTAGTAGCAAATGCTGGTAATAAAAACACTGAAAATCTCGTACCATTTTTCGATGGAAGGACTTCTTCAAGATCCATTTTCTTTTTCCTTCTGTATAATATTTAACAGGACTATCGCTCAATAAAAAGCAAATGCAGTTCAACAAGGCAAAAAATACATATGTTCGATACGTTTACCTGTAGGTACTACGCCCAGAAGGTCAAGCAATAACAAATTCTACCAGTGGGTGTTTGAATGTAAATGAAACTGTAACAATTTACGACCACGTTTATATTTCGACTCTTTTTTTTTTGTATCTTTCAACCAAAAGGTAAAGAAACTGTTTCATTGACACGACATACGTATGTGTATGTAACTAACTTGTTTCGAATATTAAATAGTGGGGCAATATAAACGAAGCAAAATGATATCAGAATTAACTTTCTTCATGAGGTACTATTACTATACACTAATACCTTTTGTCTAATAGGTGTAATACATAGAATAGGTCGGTTGTGTTAACATTGACTGTGAACACCTAGGAAACACTTTCACTGCCGTGTAACTGTTTAGTTGAGATTGTTGTGCCTACGATTAAGGTAAGAAATTTTCGCTGTTATCGTTTATATTGTTTGGTTTGCACTTTGCTACCGGTTACTAGCCCCTTTAATAAACGCAGTATGACAAATACTACATTTTTGCATACGTATTTATAATGCAAGTGCGACATGTTATGTAAGTATAAAAAAAAAACGTTCACGGAACATAGATTTTACATATTCCCTCGTCGACATTTTTTCTGTTTATGTCGCATTAAAAAAAATGCCCAATTTGATGACCAGGTGCACTCAAATTAAAACATTAAGTTCGATTTGGTTGGTAGGTTAATAAATAGGTATAAATTCAGTCATTATTTGTATATTAGGTCCTGCTCAATATTTTTTAATTACAACCATATTATTGCTTACTGTTTAACTTGTTCAATTATTTATCATTTATGTTTATATTCGCTAATTAAAAAACAATCTTCTGACAAACAGAATAATAAGGTTTGGGGTGGAATCGAATACGAAGTATACGAAATTGATTAATTTAAAGGTAAACGTTGTCATTGAGTGTTTCACAAAGAACAATATATTTTTTTGTATGGAAAATTTCATAACTTTTATAACTGTTGGATTCGTTACATTCTAAAATTATATTTTTATATTCAGAATTTAAAACAGAATAGGACACGTGCCCTTTGTCACAGACTGCTACACCGTGTAAACGAATATAATGAAAGAAACTTCTAATGATTCAACTCCTATTCACAACTCGTGAAAGTAAAACAAGAGAAGCGATCGTTTTATTGTTCAGTAATTAATATTAAATTCTGCTTTTTAAATGAAACAGCGCGTAACTCTTTGCATTTATGAAAATAAGATGGTTGCATTAAACTAGAATATATCAAAATTAGCAACATATTACTAATATAGTTTACAAACACTATTTGTAACTTATTGGTTCTCATTTGATTCAGTACAACTGTAGGGATAGATATGCAAAGACAAAGAAATAGTATGCATAGATTTGCAAATGATATAGCAATATTAGCAGGAAGCGAGGAGGACTTAGAGATAGCTTTAAATAAAATGGAAGCCGTATAGGCAAAACAAAATAAATGTAAAACAAAAATACTTTTATGCAAGGGAAGAAAAAGTAGCGAATAGGAAACGAAAAATTAGAAGAAGTGGCTGATTTTGGGTATCTAGGAAGTCAGATAAGTCAGGACGGAAGGATTAGTAGGGATATAAAGCAAAGGATAGCGCAGGGTTGAGTCGCCTTCAATAAAAAGAAGTGGGATGTTCTAGTTTTAGTGAAAATGTATTAAAAAATGTTGATGATTACCTTTCTAATTTTAAGGAGAGGCAGTGTTGTTTTTATAACATCAAATCTCCAAAATTTTTTGCTCAAACCATCGAATCGAGTCCTCATTTTACGAAATTTCTAAATTAAAATGTTCTTCTTTTTTTAACTTCTTCAATAATGTAGTGAAGCCGAAAGAAAGATTAAAAACCACGACTTCTAATATGTTTATAATATAATAAACCATCAGCTAAATAACTTTTTGTAAAATTTAATTTCTTTCCTTGTTTACTGGCATGTAAACTAGCACTTTGAGAAGACTAAGTTCTAAAAGTAATTCGTTATCTCTCTCATCTCAGCCACATTATTGTTCTAATAATAAGGTACATTAATTAGAAGCCATTAGATACTTTGAAATATGTACACACATATTAATATTTTATATAAATTTAGCATTAACTTAATTTACTACAACGTGGAATTCGCATTTTCGTTATTATGTTAATTCCGAATGTGCGAAAGCATTGAATATTTATATAGTGGATAAGAAAATCGAAAATGAATTTTCACATTAATATTTCATTTGAATGTACCGAATAAATTTTTAAAATCAGTCTATTTTCGGATATTACCTCTCACGAACGAAAAACTTTTCTTTTCAGAATGTTAATAGAGATAGCGCTTGCCTCTTTCCTTTTCTTTTGAAAAACACCGAAGGGAATAAAAGTGACGTCTATTCTCAAAAAGCTAAATTTGATATAACCACATCTTCAAAAAACTTTCTTGAATAAAACTGATAAATCGCCTTTTCTTTAACTCGATTGTGAAAGTTTCACGCACAATGATTTCTGAAGGTTTTTTACGCCTTTAGAGGTACTTGCAGATTTGCGGTGTAATATTAAAATTTATTAACAAAAAACCTTATCTCATACAAAAACCGTGTAAATATTCTGTTAATCAATTTACGGCAAATTTATACAAAAACCAAAGGCACGTGCTACAATAATAATGATAATAAAAAGCAAGTATAATCATTGGAAGCTTTTAAAGGCATTTCGGATAACGGAAGAGAAAGTAACAGAGTGTGGTAATCAAATAAATGAAAAAGGTAGGATTCGCATGCAACCCTATTTTACCACAAGAAACTTTACTAACTTTCATCCCCCTATCGTAATCAAGATGTGACTCAAACTCAATATAGGTATATTTTGATTACTATTAGTAGAATCAGACTTAGAACAGTAAAATCAGCAAATGAAAATAAATTCGATGCGATATTTTATAGACACGTTTTATTACATAATAAATACATTTCATTGATCTGTAAAGTTATTAATTGACTATATCCGCCGCCCCATGTTTATGGAAAATTAAATTTTACCATGAACATTTACTACTAAAACTAATTCTTACTTTTTAAAAACAAATTTGGTAATAGTTTTCGCGATTAGTAGGTGAACTGATGCTGTTTTGATTCAGGTCTAAAATCTGTCGTCGGTTGGAGTTTCACCAGCATGAGCAGAGAGCTTTTTCAAAGGTCATTTCATCTCCGAGAGGTATTGGAAAGAATAGGAGAACAGAGGACTCTATGGAAGTCAATAAAAATAGGCGAGATAGGTTGGTAGGACACCTTCTCAGGTATGAAGGTCTAGTCAGAGACATATTAGAGGCAGAAACAGGAGTTAGGAGGGGTAGAGGTAGACCTAGATTAGATTACTGTTCGCAAATAGTTAAGGATGTGGGCTGTTCTAGTTTTAGGGAAATGCGAAGTTTGGCTCAGGATAGGAAATAGTGGAGGTACGTGTCCAACCAGTCTTAGGACTGATGACTGATGATTTCATCTCCGCAGACGTACTAGTGAAACGTTAGGAAACAACTCCAACAGACGACAATCTTTAAATCCGAATCAAGACAACAGTTCAAGTTTAGTTAAATTTTAACTCCGTTATTAGGATCATTTTTTCACCATAGTCAATGAAAAGATTTTAACTAGTAATTAGTACAAATTTTATTGTTATTAATTCGGCCGAACTAATACAAATAAATAGATATTTAGTCCAGTCTGTGTTCTAGAAATCTCAAAAATAAATCCCTTGATGTGCAGCAAGCTTTTCATTCTTCGGTTGTATTTTATTCTTGCTCTATTCAGGAGGTAAAAAAACAAATGAACTGATGCCATGGTAATCTATTTTGACATTAACATGTTTTAGATTCAATGACATTTATCGAATTGTTTGCCATTGCCTAACGTATTAGTGTCTTTCTCCTTATCTGTCTGAATCGATAAAAATTATCAAATTGTAATTAACGTTTAGACTAAATATAAGCATCTTTAAAGTTTTTGGGTTATTTTACAGAAGTGTTGCGGTCCTTGAAGGCAACTGATTTTCTATTTTCACATTTCAGGCGATGAAGGATAACTGGTTTTTCAAACTGTTGATTGTATCATGTTCGATTTGGTCAGCTACAGCACTAAAGTACGTAAATCTTTAAAGTAATTAATTTTATTTATTATAAGCAAACATGACTCTTCAGTTTAATCAATCGTTCATTAAAATTCATAATTTATTTCAATCGTCCTTGTGAAGAAAGCCTGCAATTTCATCCACTTCCATTTCCGTATACCTATATCGCCACTGCGAAAACAAATATAAAAAAATAATGTTTATTAATCTGTGGTGGCGCTTCTTAGGGGCTTGCTTTAATCAGACTGAGAAATGTTAAATAGACTGTTACGATGACTAAAACAAACCCCTCAATCACAGGTTAACAGATGTTGTTTAAGTACATTTTTATTTTTAAAGTGGTGATACAGCGGAAATAAGGCCTAATACCAATGTTACCCTGTTTGACAGTCATTAAACTGTACTTTTCTAATCTAGAGTCAATTTAGGAAGGCGAGGTCTCCATTAAATTACGAAATTAAAATAAAAGTAAAGACTCCCGAGTCGAATTTTTTTAAATTCTGTTTACACATAAAAACTAACTGATTTCTTTGATGTTTCCGCATTCGGCCAAATTAAAAGGAAAATAACAAATTTTTGCCGTTATCGTAAAGATAATGGTCTGGTTAAGTAGATAGATGATATTTTTTGATGATGTATGTTGAGTACCTTGGCGCGGCACGCTAAAATGAAAAATATCTAAAGATTGTTAACTTAGTAACGTGAATTTTACTTTTGGAGCATTGGTACTACGTAAGCAGATGTAAAAGTTAGGGGGTGAAAATTTGTTAACAAAAGGGACGGTAAACCTTAAAATGTAAAATAAGAACTACAACTTTCATCAGTCAGGAAAGGGGAAATNAGACCTAGAGTACCCCATAATCAGAGAAGTGTTTGATTTAGCATTGGAAGAACTATTAGGGCAAGACCAATTTGGGTTTAGAAGAGATAAAGAAAAGCTTGAGGCCATTTTAGATTTACGGGTAACAATAGATAAAAGGGTAGAGTAGGGAAAGAGCATGTGCATGGGATTCGTAAATTTCAAAAAGCTTTTGACAATGTTAAATGAGACAAGATGTTAAATATATTTAAAAATGTAGAGATGAGTTACAGAGATAGAAGAGTGATATTTACATTGTATAAAGAGCAACAAGCAGTTATAGAGCTGGGGTTGCAACGTAGAGAAGTAAATATTAGGAAGGGTGTCAGACAGGAATGCACACTGTCACCGCTACTTATTAATCTATACATCGAAGACGCGATCAACATCATTAAAGACAGTACAACTGTAGGGATAGATATACAGGGGCAAAAGATTAGTATGCTTAGATTTGCAGATGATATAGCAGTATTAGCATCTAGCAAGGAGGAGTTAGAGATAGCTTTAAATAAAATAAAAGCGGTATTGGTAAAACAGTATCGTATGAAAATAAATAAAAGTAAAACAAAAATACTGATATGCAAGGGAAAAAAAGTAGGTAAAAGGCGAATATAAAGATCGAAGACGAAAGATTAGAAGAAGTAGCTCATTTTCGGTATCTAGGAAGTCAGATCATTAAGGACGGAAGTAGTAGTAGGGATATAACGCAGGGTCGAGTCGCCTTTAATAAAAAGGAGTCACCTCTATGCTCGCGAACGATCTAGAACGACGTAGATTACTGTTCGCAAATAGTTAAGGATGTGAGATGTTCTAGTTCTATTCGCTCAGGACAGGAAAGAGTGGAGGTACGTATCCATCCAGCTTAGAAATGACGACCTTATGATGATGATAAAATGAGAGTTGCGGATCTAAAATCAGAATAATCCTGCTTACGTAAAACCTTGACGCTTTCTTTACTCGACGCACTGTAAAAACCACCTGCGAAAGTTCTCGAAACCCAACAGCATTTTACACTTTCATTAAGATAACTTACGACAACAACATAAATGTTTTAGTTCTGCGTGGAGATGGGAATGCATCGGAGGATTCTGCCAAAAACGTCGTATCAATAACTCAACCGAAACAGGTGCCATTAGTCTTTCAGTGTGCCAGATATTTTGCTCAAATAACGCTGCTCTGTGGCCAAAACCCACCGGAAAGGTATCAGTGGGAAACTACCTGTTGCCAATAAATGCCAATAGCATCGACATAGCAGGGATTGCTGCCACTGCTCCTTCGGTGTCTATTCTTCGGCATGCCGTCCAAAGATTGAGACAACAGACTGAACAAAAAGGAAGTGCTAAAGCCAGAAACAAAGGTGGAAGAGCGGCCTTTTTCTATTTCGACATTGCTGATACAAGCATTGTCGATCCGGTTTTGAGGATCGACGAGAGCTATTCACTGTTTGTATCTGAATCCAGTTCTGGTTCTTTAAATGTGACCATAAAAGCTCAAAATGCTTTTGGGGCAAGACACGCGATAGAAACGTTTGGTCAGTTAGTCGTGCATGACGACTTGAGAGACGAACTTGTTGTGCCGAGAGATGTAGAAGTGGAAGACGCCCCTGTGTACACGTACAGGGGTTTAACATTGGATACTTCGAGAAACTTCATTTCGGTGGAAGCTATAAAGAGAAACATCGATGCGATGGCCGCCTCAAAGCTTAACAGATTCCATTGGCACATCACCGACACTCATAGCTTTCCTTTCTATTCAAAATCTCAACCACAACTTAGTAAACTTGGTAAGTGCTTAGTTACAATTTTCCAATTTGAAAGCAAGGACAAATAAGGAAGCTTAGTCCTGTAAAACCCTGGCCGAAAATACGTCAAAATTTGAACAATTTTCAGTTAAAGATTTATGATTTCCCCGTTCCCTGCTAGCAAAAATTAGAAAAACTTGGACTCTATCCCTTACATTTACTTAAATAATACTGAATGGTCACCTTCCTTTTTGAAAAACTTTTATCAAACCTTTACAAAGACTACCCTCTTCATCGTCCCCAGTAAAAAGTAACCTCCACTTCATTTCTTATCACACAGAGTGTCTAATAAATTATAATATCAACAATTACGGTTAATACCATAAAATTGTACATGAGTTCTTGTCAAAAAATAGAAATGGATAAGTTACTGATAAATATTCCGAAAGTATCTAATTTCAAATTAACGAATCGGACTTGTTAGTTCTCTTCAGTACGCCAAACCGAAGTTGTCCATAAAAGCAAGTTGATGTATTATCAATTAAATTCAAATTTGATTATTTTCGCCCCAAAAGGTGCCTATTCCCCTAAAAAGGTGTACATGCCAGACCAAATTGAAGACATCGTTGAATACGCGAGAGTTCGAGGGGTGAAAGTGGTTCCGGAATTTGATGCTCCAGCCCACGTAGGAGAAGGATGGCAAGATAGTGGATTTGTTGTGTGCTTAAATAAACAACCGTGGGAACTGTATTGTGTTGAACCACCCTGTGGACAGTTTGACCCAACCGAAGATGGACTCTACGACGTCCTTGGTGGTACGTTACTCATATATACTTATCTAATACATCTACGTACATAAGCTCATAAAATTACTAATCTTTTTTTTTTTACTTACTTTTGATTGAAATATTATCTTTTACAAAAAAAAATCCTGATAGACCCATATTTATTTAAAATAAAGATTAAATGAAAACTTAATTAGTACTGTGTAACAAAGTTAGATAACTTGTAGAAACTAGCTTTTTGTTGTCATCATCATCATCATAAGGTCATCAGTCCTAAGACTGGTTGGACACGTACCTCCACTCTTTCCTATCCTGAGCTAAACTTCGCTAAATTTCCCTAAAACTAGAACAGCCCACATCCTTAACTATTTGCGAAGAGTAATCTAATCTAGGTCTACCTCTACCCCTCCTAACTCCTGTTTCAGCCTCTAATATGTCTCTGACTAGACCTTCATGCCTGAGAAGGTGTCCTACCAACCTATCTCGCCTATTTTTTATTGACTTCCATAGAGTCCTCTGTTCTCCTATTCTTTCCAATAACTCTTCATTTCTAACCTTTTCTACCCACGATATACTCATCATCCGCCTATAACACCACATTTCGAACGCTTCTAACCTTTTCTTTTTGTTGTATTAAAAATTAATTACAGTATTATATTGTACCATCTATTAAATACTTACTTGTATTGTAGAGGTAGTTCGGATTCTCATGAACTTTTGTAGTGTACAATGTGAATTCAATAACGTCCGCCCTTCACGTATGTGAAAGCTCATAAAGTTTTGAACAAGAGGCTTTCATCATAATTTATATAAACTTTACTCAAACGATTTTATTGTAGAGAATGTGTTTCCCCCTTAACCCTTTTCTGAAAAGCTCCCTTTCGCTGATATATTCGCTCTTAATGTCCTAATATGCTCTTTTATATTACACAGATATCTATGGCGATATGTTCGAACTTTTCAAGCCAGACATTTTTCATATGGGCGGTGATGAAATATCATTTTCTTGTTGGAGATCGGAAGAGAAAATATTAAATTGGTTAAATGCCAGAGGCTGGAACAGTAGCTCTGAAGAGGAGAACTTTACGAAGCTTTGGAATCTGTTTCAAACAAAAGCCATTGCACAACTTGATTTCAAAGCCAAAACGACATTGCCTATCATCATGTGGACAAGTGAACTAACAAGAAAAGAAAATATTCAAAAGTATTTGCCTAAAGACAGGTACCTAAGTATTTAAATTCAATAAATCTTTAATTTAAGGCCAAAGTTCTAAAATTGCAAGGTAAATGCCGATTTACGTTGCGCTCCTTAGCAATTAAGATTAACATTAACTGCTTTTAAATTATCTTCCAAAGATCCAATTCTTTTTTAGATATGTTATCCAAGTTTGGACAGAAGGGTCGGATCCTCAAATTAAGGATCTCTTGGATGCCAATTACACCTTAATCTTGAGTAATTACGACGCCCTTTATCTAGACTGTGGATTTGCTGGATGGGTTGCTGGTGGAAACAATTGGTGTTCACCTTATATTGGATGGCAAAAAGTCTACTCGAACTCGCCCTATAATATATCAGGTAAAAAACCCTACAGTTTCAAGATTCCCTTTTACAACTCAAAAAAATATAAAAGCAGCTTCTTTAAAAAAAATATTAGAACAACTTTTCCGAGGTCATTGCTACAAATTTTTTCGTCTTCCACTATAAAGTTTCTCGAACTATACGATTTATATTCATAAAAAATATTTTTAAATCAGTAGCCCGATTCAAAGACAAATCGTTGCAATTATTTCGATAAAAAATGTTGTTAAAAATGTAGCAGGAAGAACAGACCAAATTTTGGGTTCTTCTGCGGCTTTATGGACAGAACAGGTAGATGATTCATCTGTAGATGGTAGATTTTGGCCCAGAGCAGCCGCACTGGCCGAAATTCTTTGGTCTGAACCTAAAACGACCTGGAGGGAGGCCGAGCCAAGAATATTAATTCATCGCGAAAGACTTGTTAGGGACACTGGGGTTAATGCTGAGGCATTGGAACCAGAATGGTGCTTACAAAATGAGAATAATTGTCCACAAAACTAAGTTATAATTTTTTTTAATAAATGATTCACAAATTTATTTTAAGTAAACACACACTGCTTTAAATTTACGTCCGAAAAACAGGCGTGAACGAAAACTAAGTGTACAAGCAGCTTTTGGTAAAAGCATATAAATATTTTTTGCATTACAGTGGTAATGGGATAGAAATCCACAAGTTTATAAAATAATAACGAAAACAGCGCTTTCCATTATCACAATATGATATGGGAACCTCAATTTTGCTGGGATGACTGACTATTAATAAATGTTTACATACTATAGTTTTCTGATAGTCTTCCAAGTCATCAAAATGTATACGAAAATCAACAACTTATTTAATTTCAGTAAAAAGGAATAATCATATTGATATGTTATAAAAAGCAAATATATGACTCAATAACTATAAAACTTCACGTAGAGTTAATTCAGAATTTTATGAACCTTGGCCTTGAGCTGAGGAGATATTACAGTACGACTTTGCCCTCCATTAATCTCTACATTTATACCTTTTAAAAGCTTTGACTTTTACTGTTTACAGTTTATCAAAATCTCCATCTCTAGTTGTATAACGAGGCACGTAGTTGGTTAACAGTCTAAACTACAATAAGAATACAATACAATACGCTCCGCCTCTAGTGCATATGAGTTCATGAGATTCTGAACTAGCTATAACAGTTCTTCTTTTTGCAAATTTACGTGTACATTCTGGATAGGAACCTAACTAGGGAAGTAAATGTATCACTACTTAAACATTGTACATACAACTCCAACTAAGCAATAAAAACGAAAGATGGCTCTGAAGCTATAGCTGTTAATCCCGAATAATTATTAAGGTATCTTATAATAAAATGGCTTGGAAATATGGGGATGTTTAGGGTAAAAAAAAACACTTGTTCACCGGACTTCACACACAAATTTATTAGCAACTCTAGCATATGCATATTGAGAGCTACAACAACAGACACAGGCGCCTATTCTGTCTAAACAGAACGATAATTTTAACACTTCTAAGGTTCTCTGAACCGTCGTTAGTTGTTAGTAATTATTTACTAGAGTACAAGCTGCGGTATAGGATGTAAGTACTGCCAATAAAAAAAATAGTTTCGTACAATACAATATAAACAGTTTACTAACTAGCATTTAATTCAGTCCCTTAGTAAGTGAACGAGCCTTTACTTTGCCTTGAGCCAACACGAGAATCACCAGTACGAGGCGGGAGGATTATTGACATGATTTATTAACATCTTCACCTCTGGGAAGAATCCAGTTTCGTCTTCTGTTTTTCCATGTACTTCTTTCTAGCCACGCGTAACATTTGTTCTTTACGTTTATGTAACATGTACTCTCTTTCGGATGACGACTTTGAGAAACGACTTCCAAGACCCGAAAATTCCTCCCTAAAATAGTAAACGAGATACAGACTTTTTCGAAATAAATCGTACGAAAATTGCCGAAATTAAAGTAAATAGAAATATTTTTATAAAACACCAGTCCTCAAAGTATGGCTTGTACATTTAATAAAAACTCTCTTACAACTCAAAATCAACTGATGAAAAGGCAGTACCACTTTATTACAAATTTATTTCATTGTAATAAAGAGACATTAACTACAGAATCTTAAATTTTGTAAAGTTTTTTATACTTAATGGTATACATATATTGTTACTCACATGTCAACGTTATCGGAAGTAAGTTCGTCCCAATTCTCAGACGATTCCTCATCGACGTTAAACGAATCACCAGTTGGAGAGTTTCTAGAATTAGTGGACATTGGAACCACCGTTGGGCGAACGTCCAATTCGCGAAAAATTGGCGGAGGAACCACATGCCCTTCAAGAATGTTTTCCACAGTAAGCTCCACCGACCTAGTGACCCTCAAATCGTCTACGATCGTGGAAAGAGGAATATGAGGAAACATTTGTTGCACCTATAAAATTACAATATAATCGGACTTTCAACTCCATCAAATACATTATAATTCAATAACCAACCTGCCTGGCCATGGCGTCCAACTGAGAATTAGTGGCCACTAATTGGTCTGGTCGTACTAGCTGAGCATGACTCACTTCCACCGAAAAACTGGGCAACCACGATACGTATCGTGAACCTGAAAACCACAGCTATAAACAAAATTCTTTATTTATCTTTTCATTAGTACCATCGAAATGAAAGAAATGGTTCAAATGTCTCCTGGTAGGTTGTGGAGGGTCATTCTGTAATTCTGGCAGGAGTTCGACACGCCCTCCCATAGGAGTTTCAATATTCAATGTTAATCTACAAGTAGGACAAGATTTATCCTGCTCCAGCCAAGATTGCAAACACATCCTGCAAGAAAATATGAAATATAATTTTATTATGTTACCATAATAAAAGGAGTTATATCGCTCAGGGCTTACGTATGAAACAGGTGGTTGCATGGGAGTTTTCTAGCTGATTCCATCTTCTCCCAGCATATAGCACAATTGTCACAATTTTGTGATAATTCGTCTGGTGAAGCAATAGGATAACTAAAAATGTACACTATGTAATTAGCAAACATCTCTTTCCCAATAGAACTTACTTTTGCTCCATATGTTTTAGAACCCATAAATAATTTCTGTGTTTTTTATATCTTCGTTGGAGCTCATGAAAGAGATACCTAAGCTGCATGCAGATTACTAAACTAGCCATTGATAAAAATATATTGCTCCAAACAAGCATATGAAGGTGGTGTACAAAATCAATGATATAAGCGCTCATTTCAAAAACCAATTCGACGTAGTAAACGACGGGACCTCTTTTTTCCCAAACAGAACTAGATACATTACTTACAGACCCTGAACCATCTCGAAACACATCATATAAGTGCATGACGTACCGCAAAATTACATGTACAGTCCGTAAACTCAGCAAAATAACCTTTTCGTGACATAGAAAAGAATAAATTAGTTATAATTCAAACTTACAAATGTATTGTAATTTACCTCTGCTGACATGAATGCAAATGTATTAAGTCCCTCGAAAAAGCCTACGAATGTGCTTATCAGTAGCATGAAACCTGACAGTGCGAAGATGCATATGAGAAGCGTCAGGAGTTTCACGTGATTCCATACAGGCGTCGTTAAAGAAAATGATAACTGAAAATTCTACATTTTACTTCTTCATTTTCAATAGTTTTTACAAAGAAAAAACTCTACAATTTGATAGTATAAAATTTTAACAGACTTTAATATTATATATAAAAAAAGTGCTGCCAGCACAGGAAAAAGTAGTATTACGTAAGTTAGTATCAGAAATTTCTTAAGCTGAATGTACGATGTGTTGCATACCTATTTACAATCCATTCCTTTAAATTTTAATCATTGATTACTATATATCTATTAAAATACCATAATGGCCGACATCAGTGACAATGCGACAACAATTGAAAAATAATGATGGCCGACAACAGCAACAATTAGAAAAGAATGATGGCCGACAACAGCAACAATTAGAAAAGAATGATGGCCGACAACAGCAACAATTAAAAAAGAATGATGGCCGACAACAGCAACAATTAGAAAAGAATGATGGCCGTCACTACGTCATATTATTATTTACAAAAGTGAATTTCGACCACTCGAAGCAATGGTGCTAACAGTTTCGAGCTAGAACTAGTTCTTCCCCCTTATCAGTCACTGTGAGCTCAAAACTGTTAACACCATTTCCATAAATATGTTTTTTTACAAACGACAGGAGCTCAATTAATTAAACCATTCGAGGCAATTGCCGTTAAAGAAACAGTATATTTCTTCAATTTTAAGGTCAACTTACATATTCAAATCTGTCCTTGCTCAATTGTGAAAGTAAGTGTAAAAAACCAAGTAGCGAAAACCAAGAGCACCAGAGTAAAACTTCGTCCATATATTGTACATTTATCACGCCAAATACAAATATAAACTTGTAAAATATAAAGTTCCAAAACTTCTCTTCCAAATGTTGTTGCTCAGAAATCCGAAGTTCGTCAAAAACTAACTTTTGTATACATCGTCCAAGTAATATAAGGCAACAACATGCCATGTTTATCATTACCTAAAAATAAAATAATATCTTCAAAATATACTGGAAATTTAAAACAGGTACCACAAACTAGAAAATGAGGGCTATGGTAAAGAAATAAATAAACTAAAAGAGACTCACCCTACTTTAGTGATTAGTAGGCTGATTATCTTTTTAGTTTATTAAATACATACCACAAAACTACAGGAAATCATATTCTGATCAAATTTATTAAAATAATTAAAAAAAAAGAGTGTGGAGGTTTTACTGTTTACCACGCATTATCATTAATATTGTACAATGATAAAAGCATTGTTACAATATTCAATTTAAAAGAATGAATTGTATTAATACATCATAATAATAAATTTTATTTTGCATCAAGGAAAAGTGTTCCATTAACTGTAAAAACAACATTAAATTTACTTCCCACAAAATCTTTAATTAAAACTCTGATAATAACCAGTAATAACTGGAAATTGCTTAACATTATCAAAACACATCAGCATTTTTAACAAACCATTATCATATTGTATTATTATTGCTATTTTATGTGAAGGAATTAAAACAGAGATAAGAACAATTATTAGTGTTTATCATTCTCACCATTTATGTATATGAGAATTATTAGCTAAATAGTGATTTCAAAGCCAAATTAGTTCAATATTTTATTAAAACTTACACTTATGATCATCCTTAATGGGTATTTCCATCAATGTAAAATTATAATACAGAAAGGACTTTACTAATAGCAATACCCAATAAATAGCTCATTAATAATGTTTCGAAAACATGAGTAACATCATTTTCATCACATTCATTAATGCAAAAAAAATAGCAAAACACATACACACTACGAAAGGTAACAGATAAGTCTAAACTTTTTGAAATATCAATTAAATAAACTTCTTTAGTTCTTACCCAAACACAAACTGCTTCATGAACCATTACTAAAAATATCTCGGATATATACTGTCGTAATGGCCTTGTATCTCNACATTTCAAAGGCATTATGTGTTTGAGAAAACCCATATCAATTATATTAATTTTCACCAATGTAGGTAAGGAAAAAAGTAATTGTCGTTAATTAAAATACCGCATATTTTTTTACTATTTTATTGTACAATTGTGGTAATTTACCAGATCATCAATATGAAAAAAATCTTTTTTATTGAAAATAAATTTGTTTTTTTAAATAGCTTATTTTGTAAAAAAATGTTTGAGTATGTGATATTAGGTGAACAATTTCAATATGAGACTGGGAGTCAATACTAATAGATTGTTTAAATTTTAGTTTTTCTGGTGCAGTTTTTAGAAATACGATCGGAAAATGAGGTAGGACTTAATTATTATTGTTTTATTTATTATTTATCATGCAATTTTCTTTTGTGAAATAGATAGAAGCTGGAACACTGAATGCCACAGAACAACTGCTCGAGTTAATTGTTAAGATAACTGCTGATCCCCATCACTGGAGACAGGCATTAAATTTAATTGGTAAGGTAAACCAAAGTATTTAAATATATTTTGTTCATCTCTACTTATTAAAATTATTTTACAAAACATTTTGGGTGTGCGCAACCCAACGTACACCTCATACATTTATTGCATATATGGATACCTGAAAAATGCAAATGTTATACTGTATTATAATCATGAACCAATTGGTTCTTTTTTTTTGTGGGCACAATTCTGTTCATAAAAATGTCCCACAATAAAAATGAAATGAAAATTATTGTTTCTTTCAGAGAAAACAAAGAATTATGCTGAAGTAAAAAACAGAAAAGAAGTTTCAAACAAGCCACTTCAACAAGATCTAGAAGAGTTGCGAAACTTGGCCAAAGATCGCAAAAAACCTCATTATTACTACACCTATAACTTAAAAACAGCACAAAAGAATAATTCTTCAGCAACTTATTCGAAAATTAAAAAGGTAGGTAATGAAATGACTACTAACAATAATGGAACACTTATGAGAAACATGAACGCCTCTATAAAAAATATAAATCTAAATACAAACAATCAACAAATTTTACAAAACAACCATAATTTCAATAAGGATAATACATTCGCTTACGAAAAATTCAAAGGTCAAGCGCGAAATTATCCTCTTTTGAATAAAAGACCGAAAGCTTATATCGCTATTTCCCTCATTGCGCAAAAACCTTTAAGAGAAGAATCGATCTTAGACCAGGAACTTAAATACTTAAAACAGTGGCCCCATAAAGTTCAACAAAAATAAAAGAAATCGATGTTGTACAAACATGATGGAACCGCACAGGAAAACGATGCAAAACATTTGCATTACTGGCAATTTTTATTACTTTTATTAATTTAATTATGCTCTCTGTAGCTATTATTTGTCCTAACAATAACTAAAAATACTGCAGGATTCTAATGTGTAAGTGTAATTTGTATCTTTTTAATAATTCAGAAAAACTAAATTATTTAATCGTGTAGTATCACAAAAGTTGCACCAATGATAATTAAAGTTTTGTTACTTAAATTATCGCTAATTATTCTTTGGACTGTACTTTAAATACATACACATATAAACAATTAGCGATTATTCTAAATATTATTGAATTACATATTAATTAGCTGTAACACATAGTTTACAATGATTTGAATTAGAAGCTACGATATTTATTCTAAAGGTAGCTAATTAAAACATGGAACATTTAAAAAAAATGTTCTTTTATTCTTGTAGATTACTCTAAATAGAACTGTAAATTAATTTTGTTTTTATCTAATTACTCTTACAAAGAGATCTTGTAGTTTGAGTTTTATATCGACTAAATAAGTCCGTTTCATAAGTGTTTAACTACATCAGAATTTAATAACTATGTAGAAATATATAGGCTGAAAATGATAATAATTTTGGCTAAATTATATTTTTACAAGCATGTAGTTGTAGAAATAATATACATGTGTAAAATAAATGTATACATGTAGTCCAACAAGCTAAGCAGCTTTTTAATAAATTAGAAGTGAATAAAAGTTTTTTGTTGATGATGTTGGTTAAATACTTCTAATTAATTACATTTTCTAAACTTTTTAATCATTAATTGATATAAATGCCAGTTGCATTTTCTAATTCAGTTTTCTGGAAATCATTGATTCAATAAAAATAAGACTTCAAGTTTTTAAATATATTTATCCAAAAGTATTATTAGACCCAACAATAACATTTTATTTTAGCCATTGTATTAATACAATATTTTATGATAGGTATTTATTATTTTATTCTCGATTAGGATATTTCATGGTCATACTTACAGGACGATACAAAGGCTGACTTTGTGTTGTGTAAAGGGCAGATGCAGGTGCAGGAGCAGGAGCAGGGGCAGTTTGATACGTTGTTTGACGTATGGGATATCCAGAAGTGATACCACCAGTTTTTTGTGCAGGATTCATGTGAATCAGGTGTGATGGTGGTCTTAGAGCATAATGTTCTAAAGATTTTTGATCAATATGATAAGCTTGAGTACGAGGTGACTCATAAAGACCTCTGGGCTGTTCCCTTGATGTCAGAGGATTTTGAGGATAATAAATGGAGAGTTCTTGGGGAGGTACCGGGTATCCACAAATGCCACTATATTGAGGTGTTTCTAAAAATTGATATAAAATTTATCTTAGAAACACGCTGTAATAATTTATACTTACTTTGGGGAGAAGTCTGATAAGAGGAATTTGTAACAGCAGCAGGTTTGTAAGCATAAGATTGATGATAAATAGATGCTGGTGTTGAATGTGGAGGACTGGGACTTCTAAGTCTTTTACCAAATTTAAAATTTTGTGGTATAGGAGGAGGCCCTGCCAAAGATTGTGGTAAAAATATTCGTGTTTGAACCATTCCTGATGTTGATAAAGTCTGGATAGTAAGCATTTCACTGCAAATACAAATAAATGCATAATGTGTTACTGGAACTCCTTTCTAAAATCAAAGATTTCTTACTTTGATTCTTTTACAAGTTGTCTTCTCCTGTTATCATCTTCGTTTAAAACTTTCTTGAGCTGCAAAAATAACTGATGCTTTTCTTCTTTAAGTTTTCTAAGTTTAGCTTCCAATTGCTGAATTTGTTCTCGAGTTTCTCCCAAAGTCATTACATCCTGCTGTTCTCTGGCTTCTCTTTCTTTACGTAATCGCTCTTCTTCAACTTCTTGTTCACGCTCTTGTTTTTTTCGTTCTCTTTCTCTTAATATATGCCTTTTTAAAGCATTCCACATCTGCTCAGAGCGGTCAGTGTCTCCTTTGTCTGCTACTGCAGCAGGCATATTTGACTTAATTTCGAGCTTCTAGAAATACGAAAACAGTTGTTAGAAGATGATAAAATTATTGAAAGAGATATAATTATGCAAATATAGTGTTTTGTTTACAATTTATGAAAAACAGACTATTGTATGACTTGGTTTGACATTTCAATAACCTCTAACTGGATTTTTGACACTTCATCACTACACTGAACATTCGACCCATTTAGCCATTTAAAAGTTTGTAACAAAATGTACAGAGCGTTCTAAATTCGTTCCAGTTTAGAAGGAAGAATTTTTTGTTACTAATTGCTGCCGTTTGTTCTTAATGATGAAAGTGAAGTCCCAAAAGTAAGTGGGAAAAATGTATAATAAGTCTTTTATCTTTCAAACAAGCCACTTCAACAAGATCTAGAAGAGTNAGGTATCTCCTCTCATAATATAATATTCTGGAACTAGTAGACTATAAAACGTTTAATTAAAAAATGGAATGTTTCCTTAGGACTACATTCGTATAATGTATAGAGTTTTTAATTAGAAATTTCTAACAGAACGAGATCCCTGAGCCGCCAGATATTATTTATTTTCTAAGTAACGAAACAGGTGGGATAAAGTACGTATTTTGAACGTATGCGTACCTGCTAACTTGGGCCAAGGGCCAATTTGCAGTTACTTGATTTTCTTAAACTCTGAATGGTGATTTTTACAAAATGTTTCACAGGATATTATATATAAAAGAAATTATGAGTGCTGTCAGCACAGGAAAAAGTAGTATTACATAAATGAAAATTAGTATCAGCAATTTCTCATGCTGAAGTGTACGATGTGTTGCATACCGATTTATTTCATTTATATTTTAATCATTGATAACTATACATCTATTAAAAAACCATAATGGCCGACATCAGCGACAATGCGACAACAATTGAAAAAGAATGATGGCCGACAACAGCAACAATTAGAAAAGAATGATGGCCGTCACTACGTCATATTATTATTTACAAAAGTGAATTTCGACCACTCGAAGCAATGGTGCTAACAGTTTCGAGCTAGAACTAGTTCTTCCCCCTTATCAGTCACTGTGAGCTCAAAACTGTTAACACCATTTCCATAAATATGTTTTTTTACAAACGACAGGAGCTCAATTAATTAAACCATTCGAGGCAATTGCCGTTAAAGAAACAGTATATTTCTTCAATTTTAAGGTCAACTTACATATTCAAATCTGTCCTTGCTCAATTGTGAAAGTAAGTGTAAAAAACCAAGTAGCGAAAACCAAGAGCACCAGAGTAAAACTTCGTCCATATATTGTACATTTATCACGCCAAATACAAATATAAACTTGTAAAATATAAAGTTCCAAAACTTCTCTTCCAAATGTTGTTGCTCAGAAATCCGAAGTTCGTCAAAAACTAACTTTTGTATACATCGTCCAAGTAATATAAGGCAACAACATGCCATGTTTATCATTACCTAAAAATAAAATAATATCTTCAAAATATACTGGAAATTTAAAACAGGTACCACAAACTAGAAAATGAGGGCTATGGTAAAGAAATAAATAAACTAAAAGAGACTCACCCTACTTTAGTGATTAGTAGGCTGATTATCTTTTTAGTTTATTAAATACATACCACAAAACTACAGGAAATCATATTCTGATCAAATTTATTAAAATAATTAAAAAAAAAGAGTGTGGAGGTTTTACTGTTTACCACGCATTATCATTAATATTGTACAATGATAAAAGCATTGTTACAATATTCAATTTAAAAGAATGAATTGTATTAATACATCATAATAATAAATTTTATTTTGCATCAAGGAAAAGTGTTCCATTAACTGTAAAAACAACATTAAATTTACTTCCCACAAAATCTTTAATTAAAACTCTGATAATAACCAGTAATAACTGGAAATTGCTTAACATTATCAAAACACATCAGCATTTTTAACAAACCATTATCATATTGTATTATTATTGCTATTTTATGTGAAGGAATTAAAACAGAGATAAGAACAATTATTAGTGTTTATCATTCTCACCATTTATGTATATGAGAATTATTAGCTAAATAGTGATTTCAAAGCCAAATTAGTTCAATATTTTATTAAAACTTACACTTATGATCATCCTTAATGGGTATTTCCATCAATGTAAAATTATAATACAGAAAGGACTTTACTAATAGCAATACCCAATAAATAGCTCATTAATAATGTTTCGAAAACATGAGTAACATCATTTTCATCACATTCATTAATGCAAAAAAAATAGCAAAACACATACACACTACGAAAGGTAACAGATAAGTCTAAACTTTTTGAAATATCAATTAAATAAACTTCTTTAGTTCTTACCCAAACACAAACTGCTTCATGAACCATTACTAAAAATATCTCGGATATATACTGTCGTAATGGCCTTGTATCTCCTGAAAATTTATCTGTTTCATTGAAAGTCTCATTCTCGTTGCTAATTCCACTTTTGCCCTTATTCCAGTCGGGGTTTTTGATAACTGTGGTAGCAAAATAAACACATGACGAAAGTGCCAATACACTTAAGCACACGTATGTTTTTAAATTTGGTAAAGGTAACCGGTTCAGTAGTATAACAGGCATTATAAATGTGCAATTGAAAAAATTTAAAGACCTGTTAAAGCAATACCACTTTAATAGGAATACAGTTGCACAGTTGCCGGCTTATGGATTCAAAATACAAAAATATACTTTAACTTGTCTATTCATAAGCAACGCGCTTGACATGTTGTAGATGACAGCAACGTTTTAACGACAATTTTGTCGCACTGCACAAATGTATGCTTTTTCTTTTTTGTTCCAGTCTGTTTTGTAATCTTGCCAAAAACCTAGAGAAAATGTCATCTTAAGGCAACGTTGCCTGCAGTTTGTGTTGAATTTATAACAAAATTTAACAAAAAATAGCATTCAATATTTTGAATTTAATGAAACTCACATTTCAAACTATTGGATGTATTTATAATAAATGTATCTTTCACAGTACTTAGTTACTCACATCTAATGCTTTTCCCAATATTAATATCTTGGGAAGCTTAAAAGACAGTTTTTCTGGGTAATATCTGGCAGCAATGACTTGTTTTATTGATTACCACCAGTATCAATGTTGATTTTTTATCCAATCAAACATTGTACATACATAGATTCCTTATCCATAATCTTCCCTCTATTGTATGGGTAAATCATGGAATCATGTCAGGTCGATGTCGCGCATTTCTATGGTCAGTTCATACAGTATCTATGCCAAGGAGTCTACAGCAATCTATAGTCCAGATAGTCTGTGATTGTCATGAGACCTTATCTATGATCTAGACTCCATGGTGACTGTGTAGTTTTGCATATTTTGGTTATCAGGTTAAACAATTTCGTTGTTTGCAGTTTTAGTGTGAAAATAATTCATTTCTAAAATGGTAAGTATTTTGTATAACTATTTTTCGAACAAGAAATATGTTTCTATTCATTTTTTTGTAATTTATGAACTAATTGCAGGCCATTGTTTTTACGAATCATAAAATTGTATTTTACAGGGACAAAATCAGTCCGGTGCTGGAGGTGGTGAAAAAAAGGAAGAGAAAGATAAGAAGAAAAAATATGAACCACCAATTCCAACTCGAGTCGGCAAAAAGAAGAGGAAATCAAAGGGGCCAGATACAGCACTGAAACTTCCTGCTGTAACTCCACATACCAGGTGTCGTTTAAAATTATTAAAGTTGGAGAGGATTAAAGATTATTTATTAATGGAAGAAGAGTTTATCAGAAACCAGGAACGTTTGAAACCACAAGAAGAAAAGAATGAAGAAGAAAGATCAAAAGTAGATGATTTGAGAGGTTAGTGCATTGTCTCCTTCATTCTGGTCATTTTTTTCTACAACACTTTTTATAGGAACACCTATGTCTGTTGGAACATTGGAAGAGATTATAGATGATAATCATGCTATTGTTTCCACTTCTGTTGGAAGTGAACATTATGTTAGCATTCTGTCCTTTGTTGACAAAGATCAGTTAGAACCAGGGTGTTCGGTTCTATTAAACCACAAGGTTCATGCTGTGGTCGGTGTTTTGGGTGATGATACTGATCCTATGGTGACTGTTATGAAACTTGAAAAGGCACCTCAAGAAACTTATGCTGATATAGGTGGTTTGGATACACAAATCCAAGAAATTAAAGAATCTGTTGAACTTCCTCTTACCCATCCAGAATACTATGAAGAGATGGGTAAATAATTTAGTTTTTTATATTTATTTCTTTGTGTTATTATTAACACTTATTTCTTTTTAGGTATTAAACCTCCTAAAGGTGTTATATTGTATGGTCCTCCAGGTACTGGTAAAACATTACTAGCTAAGGCTGTGGCAAATCAGACTTCAGCAACATTTTTAAGAGTGGTTGGCTCTGAACTTATCCAGAAGTATTTGGTAAAGTCTATGGATAATTTTTAATTAGCTGATTGTTAAAATATTTTTATTTTAGGGAGATGGCCCCAAACTAGTAAGAGAATTATTTAGAGTTGCTGAAGAACATGCACCTTCAATTGTCTTTATTGATGAAATAGATGCTGTTGGCACTAAAAGATATGATTCTAATTCTGGTGGAGAACGAGAAATTCAAAGGACAATGCTTGAGTTACTCAATCAGCTTGATGGCTTTGACTCTAGAGGTGATGTTAAGGTTGGTTTTGAAAACTGAATAGTAAAGAAGTATATATATGTATTACTTTTATTTACATTTCTGGTTTAGGTCATTATGGCAACAAATCGTATAGAAACATTAGATCCTGCTTTAATTCGCCCTGGTCGTATTGATAGAAAAATAGAATTTCCATTGCCAGATGAAAAGACAAAGAAGAGAATATTTAACATTCATACATCTAGAATGACATTGGCAGAAGATGTGAACTTGCAAGAGTTAATAATGGCAAAGGATGACTTATCTGGAGCTGATATAAAAGTAAAATATATTAATAGCCAAAACAGCAATTGCATCTTTTTCAATTAAAATTATTACAGGCTATTTGTACTGAAGCTGGGCTGATGGCTTTAAGGGAAAGAAGAATGAAAGTCACAAATGAAGATTTTAAGAAATCAAAGGAGAATGTTTTGTATAGGAAAAAAGAAGGCACACCTGAAGGTCTGTATCTTTAACTATGTTAATTTCAATTTTTTTATTATTTCAAGTGTTTTTCTGTATTTAACTAACTGAATTAAAAATATTTCAATATCCACTTTATTATTCTTCAATTATAATTACATATAAAGACCTAAGCAGCAAATTATACCTTGGCAATTTTAAACAGAAGTATAGAATAATAACTGCTATTATCAAGTCATATTTGGTTTATTTAGTAGATCTGGTATACATGTATAAGATGACATTAAATCAGTTACTGTTTTAGTCATACTTGCCGACTGAATATTTATTACTTTATCTTTGGAATTATTAAGTAATTCCTTGTTCTTGCATATTTCACAACAACCATACCGAGTGTTTTGTAATTCTTCAGTCAAATCCAAAGGTTTCTTATTTAAAAGTGCTGTGATACTGTGGAAAAGCATTTTCATAAAAAAGTATTCAACAAAAAAACTGAAATTTCTAACCTAACAATTCCTTTTATTTTTCCCAATATTAAACCGTTCTTAAGGCCTTCTTCATACCCTCCATCAAAGTATTTTTGATAATTGCTTTCTCTGCCATCTGAAACACCATCTCTATATCCTGTCTGATATAGAAAAATTAATTCTTTTATGTAGAAAAAAATAAAAACAAATTACTTTTTTAGATGATTTGGCGATTTTATTCCAATCTTTTTCTATATCTTCCATTAAATTTCCACAATAAACTTATGTTGATAAATAAAATAATACAATAAGTAGCCCTGTATGAAGAATATATAAAAGGAAGCTTAGGTTAGGAATTGATGAATAACTATTGTAATATTTATCTATGGCGTGACTATCAAAGAATACAGCATAAATATTCGTGACTAAAGATCCTATAGATAAATCGTTATAAGCTCAAGCGTTTGAATTTATATTATTACTTTTTTTTTACAGTTGTGACTATTTTCTTGGTTAAATTGAACAGTGGCATTTCAAATTGTAAGCTTTTAAAAAAGAGAAGACTACCATTTCTTTACAACCCTTTATTAATTAGTTTTAGCAACATTATTCATTCAACCAGTCTGTTAAATAAGTACAAACTTTTGCATTTACAAATCCAGAATCTGCACATCTATGAGATATAGGACATATTCCACAAGTACTTTTAACAAGTCCAGGAGAAGGTAAGAAGCTTTTTATTGCTCTGTATAAAAATTCTCCTGATGGAGAAACAATTCTTTCTGCATTATTGTCCAAAACAACTGTGTACAAAATGCTTTCTATATCTTGAACATTCAATGCAACTTTACTGATTCCAAGTTCAGAGATAAACTTGTGAACATCTTTAGCTGAAACATAACTGCGATTTCTTGCTATAAGGGGCCCTCCCCATAATTTTTGAGCTTCCTCTTGTTTCTGAACAAGAAATCGTTGGCACTGCTGATTAAGAACATCTACAAATTCAGATTCAAAGTCCTGATCTTGATACCAAGCTCCTCCAGTTACAGAACTGTCTGGCTCTAAATCATACAACATGTACACCTTTTTTTTACTAGCCTAAAAAATATATTTCCAAACCACTAATGTTATCAAGAAGCAATTATGTTTGCTTACTGAAACAGACTTCACAGCTTTTATTGCTTTTTTGGCCTCCAAACTTTTTAGAACTTTGTTGAGTTGAGTCATATTAAGATTTGACTTAAAGCGAATGTCCCTTATCCATATTCCCTTATTTCCTGCTTCTTCTATAATTCTATATACCACTTTTTCCTCATTGTCTGAGCCTTTATTTACAGTTTTCTTTGAAGGATCTTTGTATTTATATAGTAACTTATTGTTAACCTTAAACAACTCAAGCAGACTATTATGAGGATGGTTAACGATGTTTAGTAAGTGGAAATTACCCTGATTTTAAAAGTTTATTCACACTTTTTGTCCATGTTTCTGCAGTTACATTTAGTAGATTACTTTGTATGTCTTCATTTGAAATACCTTCCGGTTTTGACTGAGCTAAGGCAGTTATTTGGGATTCAACAGAAGAACCACTAGTACCTACTTCAGGTTCTTTAATTTTACTCATGGCGGTTAAAAATCAAATCATAAATGAGTCGAATTAATCAACATTATTGCACTAATCAATTTGATTGTAAGTGAGGTTAGTAGACATAGATATTAGTAGATGTTAGTAGACTTGCGTGATGTGACTATCATAGGTGACTATGACCTCATCTATGATTGAATATTTTATTGTTATTGCGTATTGTTGATTTCATGTCGAATTTATCTATGGCCCAATTGTTGAGGATTGATACAATTTGCTGATCAATTTTATTTCAGGAAACGATTAAACCAATAATAATAAAAAAGAAAATACTACGGAACTATTACAAATTTCTTCATGTAATTCAAAATTATACAGATTTTTTTATATCGTAAAAATAGTTATTGTTTTTTGTTGTATACAGTAATATTTGATATCCAATATCGTTGAAAGAAGGGTTGGCTTTGCCGTATAAAATGAGCATAAAAATCTATAAAAGTAGTAAAAATTGAGAGGGTCTATGTTTCTTTCTAGCCCTTGCCAGCATACCCTTGACAACAATAATAACTTATTGATGTCTTGGGGTCAGGGGAAAACGCAAATATATTCATAACGATTGCGCACGACCAAAATACTGTTGGGGGTTAGTAGTTCTACCGGCAATGTTTTGATTTTTATATACTCAACATATCACATTGATCTTAACAAAATTGTTTTTAAAGCCCGCGATATCATTATCGATACAATAAAATGTAGACATTGATTTTTTACTGAAAATACATACATACGTCTGTATATAAAAAGTCAAAAAATATCTCGTTACATTTTAATAAAAAAAATATAACATTTCAAAGGCATTATGTGTTTGAGAAAACCCATATCAATTATATTAATTTTCACCAATGTAGGTAAGGAAAAAAGTAATTGTCGTTAATTAAAATACCGCATATTTTTTTACTATTTTATTGTACAATTGTGGTAATTTACCAGATCATCAATATGAAAAAAATCTTTTTTATTGAAAATAAATTTGTTTTTTTAAATAGCTTATTTTGTAAAAAAATGTTTGAGTATGTGATATTAGGTGAACAATTTCAATATGAGACTGGGAGTCAATACTAATAGATTGTTTAAATTTTAGTTTTTCTGGTGCAGTTTTTAGAAATACGATCGGAAAATGAGGTAGGACTTAATTATTATTGTTTTATTTATTATTTATCATGCAATTTTCTTTTGTGAAATAGATAGAAGCTGGAACACTGAATGCCACAGAACAACTGCTCGAGTTAATTGTTAAGATAACTGCTGATCCCCATCACTGGAGACAGGCATTAAATTTAATTGGTAAGGTAAACCAAAGTATTTAAATATATTTTGTTCATCTCTACTTATTAAAATTATTTTACAAAACATTTTGGGTGTGCGCAACCCAACGTACACCTCATACATTTATTGCATATATGGATACCTGAAAAATGCAAATGTTATACTGTATTATAATCATGAACCAATTGGTTCTTTTTTTTTGTGGGCACAATTCTGTTCATAAAAATGTCCCACAATAAAAATGAAATGAAAATTATTGTTTCTTTCAGAGAAAACAAAGAATTATGCTGAAGTAAAAAACAGAAAAGAAGTTTCAAACAAGCCACTTCAACAAGATCTAGAAGAGTTGCGAAACTTGGCCAAAGATCGCAAAAAACCTCATTATTACTACACCTATAACTTAAAAACAGCACAAAAGAATAATTCTTCAGCAACTTATTCGAAAATTAAAAAGGTAGGTAATGAAATGACTACTAACAATAATGGAACACTTATGAGAAACATGAGCGCCTCTATAAAAAATATAAATCTAAATACAAACAATCAACAAATTTTACAAAACAACCATAATTTCAATAAGGATAATACATTCGCTTACGAAAAATTCAAAGGTCAAGCGCGAAATTATCCTCTTTTGAATAAAAGACCGAAAGCTTATATCGCTATTTCCCTCATTGCGCAAAAACCTTTAAGAGAAGAAT